ACACTGGGCCTACGGTTTATAGTCCTTATCCGAGAAGACTTGTTCTACCACCAGAACCATAGGCGAGCGTGCCGTTCGAACCAGCGCCGATATTATGGCTAATGCTTGCGGCGCCTTTGCTAACCGCTCGGCCATTCGACTCACCTCAACTGGCAGATCATAACATAGGGGGCATAGACACAAAAATTATGTCTACAGTATGCATATCTTAATATTCAAATGAATGGGAGATAAAGAAACAAGAAGTGCATTTTGCACTGAATGTTAAGTAGGTCTGTGTTTGCTTGAGCAGCTTGGACATAATACTTAGACTTGTAATGTGCTGGAGACTGACATATTATTACAACATTTGAGAGAAATTCCTGGCAAATACATTTGTCTAGACATAAAATTGGAAATTGGTTTAAATAAATGAGGAATGCTTGATAAAATTGCATCAAGAATTTTACAGTAGTCGAACAAAAATAGTACCAAACATTCCATGTTTTTTATTGTGCATGTTTAATTGGTATGTCATAACTGGAAATGATGTTGGATGGTTGTTGGAATAAAAAATAGGGCAGTGGGCTATGTTTAATGCCCTATACTGCTTTACTGTATTATGAAATTATCTACATGGGATTCGGTTATAAGGAAATGTGTGGTGTTGTATTTTTTTATGATTTACCATCTTTAACTGGCAGATCATAACATAGGGGACATAGACACAAAAATTATGTCTACAGTATGCATATCTTAATATTCAAATGAAAAAATAATACAGATTCAAGCTTGTTCAGCTAGTTAGTTCATCTATAATTTCATATATGTTTAAAAAAATATTTATAAATTTATGAAAAATCTGAATAATTAAAACAGCATGCTATTATTTCTTGTGTCATGTTTTGCATATTGGTACAGAGTTTAATTTCTATGCAAAACGAAAAAAGGAAGGGAACAGATCTAAGCAGTTGAAGGATACTGTAGTCAATTCACATTATGCATTTAGACTATGCAATATAAATGAGTCAGCTCAATATTAAACAGCAACAACCATTCACTGGTACTAGTACCTCAAACATCTATGAATGCACGCTTTAGGTATTTTATTATTTTTAAATTCCAAACAGATACACTGTGTGGTTTAATATATCTTACATTCAATTACAATAATTTAACCATTTTATGTATGTCTAAAATAAATTGGAGCATTTGGAGTACACCATTTAAGCCTAATATCAGGCAAACAGGGGTTTAAAAATTTAGATTGAAGATGATAATTATCACTCTGATAAATGTATGAGTAAACCTAGGCATTCACTGGATCATAAGAGAGTCCTGTACAGTATGACTGTTGTAAGACAGATCCAACTCCACCACCTGCGAACGCTAAACGATGGCGCACTCCATTTGCTGATTGTCGGTAGCAGTCTGAATGGAGCGTCATTAAAAACAATTTGATGCAAGTGCATCGTGGTATTGCATTTTTCATAAAAGTGAATTGGCTGACAGCAGTTGAGCACAGAGAGTGAATGACTTTGGTCTATGTGAGCTGGAAGAACACTAGAAATCGAGGAATTCTGTACTGTAGACGTGAAAATATGACATCAACTAAAAAGAGAAGCATTGCGCCCTGTGGCTTTACCACTGTGCCACCAATGTGTAGGATAGGGAAGAGGTGTAAAATCAAGTTATAATAGATTACTATTACATCCACTAGGATGTCACCAAGGACTTCAGCAAAAATCTATTGAATCTGGTATTTTCTCATTATAATGTGCTGATTCAGGCGGACATAAAATCAACAAAAGTTGTTGCTCTTTCTGTTAAACGGACAAAGGGGTCTATGATGCATGAATTTAAAATACCATTTTCAAGGGTATAACCAGGTATAACCAACCCGTATAAAGTCAGGCTACATTACAATAGAGTATACATTAACACAATGATAATATTTGTTGCATTAATGTGTATTAGTACTGATGTAATCAGTACTAATACACATACTACTGATGTAATCAGTACTAATACACATTTGTACGGATTAATTTGCATTACATCATCTTAAACAATGGACCAGGTAGATTACTGGTATTCATTTTCAGACCACTGCTATTTAACCATGGTTACAAATTATTACAGCTTTTTGAAATCAGAATTTGGTTATGGGGGGTGGGGGGTCGGCATTTGAAAATCAATATTTATTTATGCCTAATATTAGGCGACGCTCTTCAATTATAAACTGTCACCACAGGGAAAAGATCTAAGAATTACTGACTCAAAATTTCAGGTTTTTAATTTCTCATCATTATCTGTAGTGTGCAAACATTAAAAAAATATAACCCAACCCAATTCATTTGCTGGGCTGGCAAGTGACCCAGACTGCATAACTGCACAATTTAATAAGTTAGCAAACAACTCACTCAAACAATACAATAGATTGAAAGGCAATAAATGCAACAAAGATATAAATAGACAGATAGCTATATCTATATTTTACCACTGTGTAAGTGTACCATCAAAACTGTCATCTGAAAGCTCAGTAAAATAGCCAGCTAATCATAATAGGGATAGGCATTATATCCAGAACAGCTTAGCTTTAGTTGGTAATAGTTTTGGTGGTAGTAAATGAATGTGCACTGAACCATACCTTTGGTCGCTGATTCATTACAAGTGCTGGTCACTTTGTACTTCAGTTGGGGGGGGGGGGATCACAAGAGGATTGTCTCATGGTAAAATCCCAAATTCATCACCAGAAAGACTAAATAGAATATTCAT